CGATCTCATCCCGCACGATCTCATCCCGCACGATCTCATCCCGCACGATCTCATCCCGCACGATCTCATCCCGCACGATCTCATCCCGCACGATCGCCCCGCCGTCCGATGATGCCTCGTCCGTGCAAACCCGGCATGATCTGTGGCGCCATCTGTCACCACGTCAGGGTGACCGCGAGGAGGGTAACAGGGTAAAATTCCATACCCCCAAAAATATTGCTAGGGTATGGTTCCATACCCAAAATTACGAGTGAAAAAAATTACGCGTTTATGTGCATGTAAGCAATATTTGGAGTGAAAGCGATAATATGTGGTATTTTTTACGAAGAAACGCAATGAAAGTGACGTGGAACGCCGGTTGCCGTTTTGAATTCTCCGCCGCGCGGCTTGATTTTAGTCGCGGTAATCCCCGCGCTCGTTTCATAGTCGAGTGCTCACGAGACCGGAGCCGCTTTTCCGTCCGTAATCCGTTTGCTTCCAGCTTGTCCTGTTTCGTGTCGATAAGGTCCTGGCCGCTCGACAACTTGTCTTCGGTGTTTGAATCTAGTGGTTGGTTCGAGCACTTGTCTTCGACGCTTTGTCTTCTGTGTTTGAATCTAGCAGTCGGGTCGCTTTGTCTTCGGTGTTTTAATCTAGCGTTCGGGTCGCATTGTGTTGCAGGGCCGTGAGGTTGGCGTTCCACAAGTTCGAGCCGGAGAAGGAAAATGACAAGCAGCCCGTGTTCATCCTCCACGGTCTCTTCGGAAAGAAGACGAACTGGTACTCGCTAGCCGACTCACTATGCAAAGAGACAGACCGACGGGTATGTGATGTCATATATGCTGACCCCGTGCATTCCAGTGTTCTCGCGAGATGTGCCCCTACCCGTGGGAATTCTTTCACTGTTGGCTCAAAGCTCAACGCTCAAGCTGTTGGCTAAAATTTGTCATTATACACTCCTGATCACATGTATATTACTAGACAGAGGGCACTCAAAGAGAGTGCATACCTCCGTGAGCGTACATGTGTATAACAGCTGGCTCGCTGCTGGCTGCTGCTGACTGGAAGCCCTAAGGCGAGCTGCTGCTGATTGGTCGCCCTAAGGCGAGCTGCTGCTGACTGGACGCCCTAAGGCGAGCTGGTGCTGAATCGATCGCGCCAACGCTACACACGAACACACACACGAGAGCGATTACATTACCTCCCTGCAACTCCGTTGCGCGGAGGTAATAACCATTCAATGTCACCAGCAAGGTGAATATTTTATATCCTGCCTAGATACTAACCAACAGCAGAAATGCTAGCCATGGTAAACGAACATAAACCCATAAACACCCGACCGACGGGTCGAGCCATCGCGTCCGTAGTTAGTCTGACGCCGCGACTGCTGCCGGCAGGTGTACGTGGTGGATGCGAGGAACCACGGCGACAGTCCGCACGTGCCGATCATGGACTACCCGTCGATGAGCGACGACTTACAGCTGCTGATGCGACACGAGGGAATCACGAAGCCAGCTCTCGTCGGACACAGCATGGGCGGCCGCATCGCGATGACCCTCGCACTCACCAAGGTCAGTGACGGGGTCAAGGTCAGGTCAGTTAGGGGGGTGCCCTCGTCGGACACAGCATGGGCGGCCTTATGACACGGTGTTATGATCGCGATTGATTTCCTGTCTGTGACGAGAATTCATCACAGAGCTCTGTATCTGTTCATCTATTATATATATATATTTCTCTTAATCCCACCATATGTAGACATCGGGTGTAAAAAAACAAGGCGTTAGGTAGACATATTTGCCTTAGGTAGACAGACTTAAGTAGACATATATGTGTATATTATAAGCACTAATATAGATGTACTATTTCCAGAAATTGCATTTGTGTTACTGTGCAGTACTGTATATTAGCGTATGGAAAATGTCTACGTATGACACTAGTTTTTGGTACTGTCCACCTATGGTTGGATTAAGTGTTATAT